TTTAAATACATATAAAGATATGCATACGTACAATAATGAATATTTACTAATACATACTTAAATAAATCCATATATGCATATAAATATACAAATATATAAATACATATACATAGAAATACATACATATACATGAATATTTATATATTTGTAATACATAAATATATAAATATTCATAAGTATATAGTAAGTCGTAATATTATAAACTAACCCAGCAATTTACTAGATATATCTCAGTGTATAAATAGATGGAATAAGACAATTAGGTACATCTAACTCCACAAAAAAGACTTCATATATATTCATATTTATTTATTTAATAACAATCTTACAATAGTATTTGAAATAAGTTACAATATTTTACAAAAAGAAAACGAAAATATAATGATATAATAAACAGCATCGTCAATAAAATTGTGGCAAAACAAATTATTTTTAATTAGAAACTAAACTATTGTACCATTTTGATAAAACTCCTATGGGACTAATTTGAAATTAAATCTTTACTACAGATAAAAAAGCAAATTTTTCAAGTCGGTTCAGAATTCAGAGGTAACAAAACAAACATAAACAAACTAGTCGAGCTTTCTCGGCCTAATTACACGTAAACCAAACCGGTAGTTATTACATTAAAACAAACATAAACAAAATAAATACGACCAAATTGAGAAGGCTCTTTTTTAAATCCAGTTAAATATTTGAATTTAGAACGCGGAATACGACAATTAAATTGAATGCCTCCTTTTTTGTAGTCAACTAAAATATTTAAATGTAGAACACGGAATACGTACTTATTAACGTACTTTTATAATACGAATAGAAACCAGAGGGAGATTTTCTACAAAAGTCAATTGCTTGGGTACCTCTGTCCCATTCGTGTTTCTACCGTGAAGCAGTTGTGTTAACATGACTGTGTTTCGGTTTAAAGGATGGGATATGACATGAATTTCCAGAGTACAGAGGAATAACACCTGAGTCCTCAGGAATGGCAACGCATGGGGGGTATCATGGGTGAAACAGTATACTCTGTTATGTCCATGGTACTGCTCATGTCTATAGGCGACGGTTACCACTTTCCATCAGGTGGACCGTCAGCTTGTTTGCCACTTTTTTTATACAACTTAGAATGGCAAACAATTGCCTTTCTAAGTTGTATAAAAAAAATCCTCATTAATAAAAAACTGACACGTCCAGTAACATTGGATTTGTATAATTCACAAAGAATTAATACGTTCCAAACTTTTCGTTGACTTGTGACGTTGTCATATTGAATTTCAATAAATTAATTCACTCAAACGATTTTACTGTCCGGCCTTGTCAATTGGAAAATTTGAGAGGGGATTTATTTTCAGGATTCATTCCACTGTCTTTTTGAATGGGCGTTTTTATATTCTATCGTGGCACGACACGGTTCGATTATGACGTCACAGTATGCCGTCTTTAAATCACTAGTTTATTCATCATCATCACCACATCATCATCGTTATCATCATGCTACCTACCTATCCGAATTATTTACTCGACGTCGGCGTAATATGTTTTTCTTTTCCATTCATTGCTACTTATAGACATTTTTTAATTTACTTTCATTCTAGCCATATCAACTGTCATACAGTCTTTTAATTGTTAGATTACTAGCTTTTACCTGCGGCTTCGTCGCAAATTTCATAGTGATTGATAAAGACGTTTAAAGCACTATAAAGCAACAAACAAACATACTCACCTTAATATTAATTGCTGTTTCATTTATATACGCAAAAGAACCAAAGTGTCACTTTTTGTAATTTATTTATTTTTATTATTTATTTATTTATTTTCATTTTCTCGGTGCTTGTTTTGCCTCTAGACTTTATAATTTTAATCCCACCCTTCAAACCAATACACATGCAAACACAACTGCTACACGGCAGAAATACAATTGGGACAGAGGTACCCATGTAGAAGTTTAAGTGTTATTTTTTTTTATACAACTTAGAATGGCAAACAAGCTGACGGCTCACCTGATGGAAAGTGGTAACCTTCGCCTATAGACATGAGCAGTACCATGGACATAACAGAGTAGTATACTGTTTCGCCCATGACGCCCCCCATGCGTTGCCATTCCTGAGGACTTAGTAATTTTTGTTTATACAGAATAAACAATTTAAATGCAACTTTAATTAAAATTATATTTAATGCAAATTAAATTAAAAGCAACTAAAATGCATATGTTTTAATATGTAAATTAAATATTGAATATTTGATTATCAAAAAGTTATTTGTAATTCTGAGAATAATAATTAATGGTGGATTTTAATATATTCTGTTGGTTTTGTTATTACAAATTATATTTTTCTACGAACGAAGTATTCATAGGAATCTAAAATATGAATAATTCGTAAACTTTATATTCGAGTTGAAGCCACGTTTACACTGTACGCGTTTTATCTAATAACCACAGTGTTAACAATATACAATGGTTATTTTTTATTGTTGAAAGTTTTACGAAACTACACACCAATCAGGTTTATGCTCGTGTCACGGCTACTCATGACTAAAGGTCCTGGAGGGTACCAAAACTAGTCGAGTTTTGTCGACTGAAATATATGAATATAAGTTAATTTGGTTGCTATTATATAAAAACCACTACCATCACCATAATAGTCTAACAGGTTTTAACACCTTTGATAGCGATAGCGGTGATACGATCATCGATGATATCTCAGATAGTATCATCTGATCTATCTGAGATATCATCACTGCTGGACATAAGTCTCCCCATTGGGGGGTTTGGCCAATAGTTGCCATTGTTGACAGGCGGATTAGCAACCGCAGTTAAGCTAAATTTTTTAAGAGAGATATTGCTGTCTATCCCTCTCCCTTCCTTAGCCGCCTCTTACGCCACCCACGGGATAGGACGGGATGGCTCATTGTATGCCGGGACCACACAGTCGGTATATTAAAACCAGTGGCTTCAAATTCTGTCCAGACATGTTCGTTAGATGTCTGGTGAAAAAGTTTTTCAACTGTGATCACAACGATGTCTGTCCTTTTATGATCAGTTTTGGATAGCATCTCACTTGAAGAATTAAACTCACTTGAAAAATTCAAATTCTTTTATACAACATTATGCAAATAAGAGTTGTTGTTTTTAATGGATGATAATGAAATAGTAACCCTACCTGCGCTATCGGTATGCACTGGCAGGGAGATAGATAATTTATTTACATTACAGCACACAAATTACAATAAAAACATACATATAATACACAGTTAAAGAGATAAAAGAACTAAAACAAAAAAGCAATAAAAAAATATATAAAGAAAAATATATAAAATAACAATTTCCTTTTTTTCCCTTCATGCGTGTGCTCTAGTAACACAAAATGGTCACAACTCAGTTTATTGCTTCGCCCTCAAAAGAGCAAAACACTGATATTCTGCTGTGGCCAAGAGTCAGTCGCGAAATTCCTTATTAAAAATAATAATAAACAGAAATATTAATAAAACGCATTGTGTGTGTCCATTACATTTGCTTCCATTTGATATTAATACTTTAATAAATAAATAAATAACAAATACCATTAGATGAGAGATAGATGAAGATGAAAGCAGGTCCATTGGTCGTGACTAATTCAACAATAAATTAATGACGATAGCTTCAGGAGGAACTAGTAGTAGGTCGACCTGATAGTGTATATTAATAGCAATAGGATTGCTAATCCCCATTACCCAAAACCCCTTCACCCCCCGTAACTGTAGAGTTATATTAAAAGAGTGATTTCTCGCTCTTCAACTACTTGCTTCTTCAATTTATAATCGTACTTTATACATTCTACGGCCAATATTTTCTTACTTGAAACAGTCAAACACTACCTGATAGGGTGTATTCCTAGTAATGGATCAGTTAGACCTCATTATTAACAATTCCTTTTCCCCTTGTATGAACAAGTTGGTCCGTTTTTCTCGAGACACTATCTATATAATCTAAGTATTAGATATGGTAAATAAAACGATTATTCTTATTATTAGAATTAATCGACTTAATTACTCTATTACTTCGATTAGATATAGTAAATAAATCGATTATTACTATTAGAGATTACCGATTTATTTTCTCGATTTTTTTCTTTACTCAGATAATAGTAAATAAATCGATTATTACTATTAGAGATTACCGATTTATTTTCTCGATTTTTTTCTTTACTCAGATAATAGTAAATAAATCGATTATTCTTATTATTAGAGATAATTCATTTATTTACTCGATATTTTTTTCTTTACTCAGATTAGATGTAGTAAATAAATCGATAATTATTACTATTAGAGATAATAGACTTATTTACTCGAGTTTTTCTTCACTTCGATTAGGTATCGAAAATAAATCGATTATTATTATAATTATTTAGTAAGTATATCACGCGTCATATGTTCCCCTCAATTGTTGTGTGTTGAATGGCTTCACGAAGCCAGATATACCGCGTAATATAATATGGCTCTTGTTGTTTGCCTTCATTCACTCATTTCATGCGTGGTTCCGTATCAAATGTTGGCATCTGTAGACGTCTACAATAACAGTATCGATATTGTCATTTATAAATTAACATGTTTGAGTACTTAAACTTAAATCTTTTAATGGATGATAACGGAATGGTAACCCCGCCTGCACTAACGGATGATAAGTGAGAATGAAACCAGTTGGCTCATCGTCAGGAATTCAACAAGAATCAATCATAAAGGTTTCCAGGGGAAACCGCGTGAATGTCAACCTGGTAGGATATTTTTTTATGTAACTTAGAATGGTAAACAAAATTATCTAGATTGGCAACTGCATTTTCTATTTTGGTGATGTTTTAAAAGGGACGCTGGTGCCCATCCTTCCACCACAAGCTTTCTTAGTCGCCTCTTACGACACCCACGGGAAAGGAAGGGGTGGCATATTCTATCCGGGGCCTACACGATTACTGCAAAGGTTTATAGTAGTTAAGGGATTGTTTTATAGCCTTAATTTATCTTTTTACCAGGAATTGGAGGCCTCCGAGCTATAGAACTGCGGATATCACCACCAGTGGTCCAGCGGGGCTCAGACGCGACGTTGGCGTGTTTGTACCAGCTCACAGACGCGCCTTTATACTCTGTCAAGTGGTATAGAGGGCGCCACGAGTTCTACCGGTACTCGCCAACCGAAACGCCAGCTACCAAGATCTTCCCGTTCGCCGGAATCAATGTGGACGTAAGTAAATTATACTGTGATTTTAATTTTTTACTGAAACTATAGTCTGCACATTGTAGTATGACGAGAATGACAACAGGGATTACGATTGCTTACTGTAAGTTAACTGTAAACTTGTGAGTCAATTTCAAACTTTCTAACGATCCAGTTAGTTAAATAATTATGTAATATATTATCTATTATACAATATCATTTCAGCGAGTCTTTTCACCTCTTGATACGACACGACACTAACTCCTTCCTTGATCTGCCTGATGTAATTATGCCTTGGTATCCCTCTTCCCCTCTTTCCTTCTACCGTACCTTCTATTATAATATTCATTAGTTCATATTCGTTGTGTCGTATCAAGTGTCCCAATATTTTCCCCCTTCTGTCTTGCCGTAATTTGTTACATGAAACACGTTTGATTTCAAAACCATTTTAAACTAACCCTTTGGGAACAGAGTCCTGAGTAAGTAGTATATAAACTATAAATAGTTATGGTTAATTATGAATAGTTCTCCAAAGGGAGACTTTATATAAAAGTCGTTTGTTTGGGTACCTCTGTCCCACTCATGTTTCTGCTGTAAAACATCTTTTTTAATGGACTGGCAACCCTGCCCGTACTAACGGTATACACTGGCTGGGCACCAGCGAGGGATGACAAGTGAGAATGAAAAGGCAAGTCAGTTAGTCCATCGTGATGAATACACCTGGGATTCAGCATGATGGTTTCCAGGGGTGGCATGTGGAGGTTGACCTAACAAGATATATTGCTAGCAATGGGACTGGTAGTCCGCATTACTAAGAATCCCTTCCCGCAGCCTTGAAACAACTGTGCTTACGTGGTTGTGTTTTAGTTTAATAGGTGGGATATCACCAGTGAAATTATAGGCATAATACCATAGTACTCAGGAATTGCAACCCGTGTAAGATATTACGGACGTCACAGTATACTTTGTGATGTTTATGGTACTGCTCGTGTCTAAAAGCGCCGTGTACCGCTTTCCATCAAATGACATACCATATTATACATATACAAATTATACTCATATATAGAAACTTCTTATACTAGGCCACTTATATAATAATCTAAAAGCAGTCAAGAAGCACTGCATGTAACTAAAACACTCCATGTATAAAAGTTACGAGGGAACACGTGGCGCATACATTTGTACATAACTCAGTGGGCCCCAATGAATTTTCCGCATACGAAATACAAATGGGGCAAAGTTTAGCAAGCTGACTGTGATTTGTCTCCAAGGGACTGTCAGGGCCCGCGTCATATAAATACACGTAAGGCTGACATCCACTGATAACGCTAGCTGACGAATGATTTAACATTTTAACAGACTTTTCAAATAGAATGGAAGTTCTCAATTTGACTTTATTGAACGTCTGTGCTGTATGTATATATCTCAAATATAGATAGATAGATAGATACTCTTTATTGTTTCTTTCAAAAGATTACAATAGTAAACTTATTATAGATACGAACAATTACAAGAAATGATACATATATACATACACACACATACACACACATTCACACACATACGCAGGCACGCACGCACTCATAAGCAAGCACACACGTACATACGTGTTTATAAACACCAACACAAATACATGACAACTTATGAATACATACCTACTTACATATACATAAAACACAAAGTTATAATTTTTTTACATATCTGAAGAAATATGTATGTTTACTAGACAAATAAAGAAATTAAAATGAAGATGACAACTTGCTCAGATAAAAATCCTTAATTTTGTTTCGAAATATATGTTTTGATAAAACCTCTACCTTGTTCAAGTCGATTAAAAAACATAATTGTTAAATTTTAATTATAAACTTTAACTATAGCAATCTAACTATATATATATGTACAGTTTATCACTAAAAGGTCAATTAAACCTAATATATCAATTACCCTTGTTGCTTAATTGCTTATTCATGAATATCGTCCCGCTAAATAACTGATGAAGTGCTGTATCTCCCTTCTATGAATCTAATATTAACATGATAAGAACATTGTAATTAATTTTCTGCTTGCTCCTATAAATATATAATTAATAGGCAATTGCGGCTTGCTTAATATTCATGACCGCTGACTTATGTTCGACGGAGTTGATGAATGTGTTTCAGTATTTATGTTAGCTATGATTAGTGGGGTGTATAATAGCATTAATAGCTAAATTGCCAATCTTAAGTTCAAATATTATGCAAGTTAATTAGAATTTATATTAAAATATGTAAATTATTTTACAACAATTGAGTGATTAAAAAGTTTAATGTTCATATCCGCTTAATTATGTTTGACGGAGCTAAAGAATATATTTTTGTATGTATATTAGCAATGCTTAGTGGGGCATGTTAATAGCTGAATTGGCAATCCTGAGTTCAAATTTTAAGCAAGTTAATTAAAATTTGAATATTATTTTGCAATAATTGATTGATTAAAATAAATTCTTAACGTCCAAATCCGCTCAGTTATGTTCGACGAAGCTGATGACTGTTTCAGTTTATACACACATATATTAGCTATGTATACATATAGTACATACATATATCAGTGGGGCGTATAATAGCATTAATAGCTAAATTGCCAATCTTGTGTTCAAATCCTATGCAAGTTACTAATTAACTTGCATAAGATTTGATTTATATTAAAATATGAAATTAGCTTACAATAATTGTTTGATTGATTTTTTTTTAATATTCATGTCCGCTCACTTCTTTACTGCGAAGCTGATGAATGTGTTTAAGTACGCATGTTAGCTGTGCTTAGTGGGGTGTATAATAACTAAATATTAGTAATTTTAAATTCAAATATTACATTAAATAATCAAAATTATCATTAAAATATGGAAATTATTTTCTAATAATTGTCGAGTAATTGAAAAAAAAAACTGTTAAGATGGTTTAAACAATATTTTTTTATAAAATTTACTTAAATTGTACAGTTTCAGAGATTAGCTTGAACTAACATGTTGGTATAAGAATTTTATATATTAATATTAGCAACGCAAATAAAAAAAAAAACTACTTCAATCATGATAAAAAGATTTTAAATAAAGAGTAAAAAATACAGTTGATTTGAAAAAATATATGTTTTATAAAGTCGTTCAAATAGCCGGTATGATAAAATCCGTAACCAACAAGTATTAGTATACAGGATAAAGCAGAAATACCAATATGTACTCGTAAAATTAAGGCTCTATCTATGTTACAGAATATAGATTTCAAAAATATAATTTTTCAACTCATATTTCTTTAGTGAAAATGTTCAATATCCCCGATGAAACACTCTTTTCAGTTGCTAACGATTTCCATTCTACACTGTAAGAATTACGTTGGTATTTCATAAATTGACCTCCTTTGCTTATATTTCTATAAATTATTATTGCATTTTAGTATTCTCTGAAAATCGTTTATGCTATTTATTTATTTATTTACTGTTTTTTTGTACAATTTATAAAAATAATAAATGTAGTAAATTTTAATAAGATTTAACAGCATCTTCTATCCATAAGAACATATTTTATTTATTAGTATATGTAGGTATATAATTATGTCAATTTATGTAAATGTATGTGTATATGTGTGTATATTGTGAGAGTGCGCGCGTGTACGCGAACGTTCGCGCGCTTGTGTGTGTGTGTGTGTGCGTGCATGCGTGCGTGCGTGAGTACGAGAGTGCCAGCGTGCGTGCGTGCGTGCGTGACTGCGTGCGTGCGTGCGAGTGTGCATGCGTACGTGCATGCGTATGTGCATGCGTGCGAGCATGCTTGCGTGCGAGCGAACGTGTGTGTGTGTATGTGTGTATAAAATTAAATATGATGTAATTAATTATATATAAATTTCAATTTGTCATTAGACATTAGACTATGACAAAACTATCTTTTAGTCACAGTATTGTACACCACTCTACCCATTAACATTAATGTTCTTTTCCACTTTGGATTTGCTGTAAGAATTTTTTTGTAGAATTAAGCTCGCCTTTGTACATTTGCTCATGTTTGTCATATTTTTAAGTATTATTAGTGTACACAATTATGTAAATATAAATAAATAAATAATAAAAATAAATACAAAAGATGGTCTTACCGCTAAGTAGTCTATTACAAACAATCTATGGGTGGAGGACATTGAGACAAAAGACAATATCCATATCATCCGCACGGTGGATGCGGATAGGTAAAATACTCAGTTATGAGTTAGACAGTGACAAACTTTGCGGAACTTTGGGAACGTAATATCTTGCGAAAGTGGCATTTAATGAAAAATTTTCCTCCGGCGCCATCTCATCCGGTAGGATATTCTGAAAATGTCATTTTCATCTAAAAGTCAGACATGTGGGAAGGTCCCCCAGAAGTACTATCTCAATTCAATAGTTCAAGCCAATAGTTTAGTTATTATATAGATAGATAGATACTCTTTATTGTTTCCTCCAAAATATTACAATAGTAAACTTATTATAAATATAAACAATTACAAGAAATAATCACAATGAGAAAACAATGGACGTCCTTATCGCTAAAAGCGATCTCTTCCAGGCAACCATTGGATGGAGAGGAGTAATTATAAACAGTTTGATCGGAGGCACGATGAAATTAAATTATTTCTTAATATACAGATATGATACATGTAATAATGTAAAATATATATCCCTACTCATTATATACATAAACATACATACATATATACATATACACATGTACATACATACATGCATATAAACATCTACACAGATACATAAAAATATATAAATATTGCTTACATAAAACACTAAGTTGTAATTTTTTTAGATATCTGAAGAAATAAGTATGCTAATCAGACAAACGAACAAATTAAGAAGATGGCAACTTGCTCGAATAAAAATCCTTAACTTTCATTTTAAATCTCGGCAGACATTTCAAATCAATAGTTTAGTTTATATATCAAAATTAGTCATTTTGATCTAAAAACTAATTTACTGAACAGATTTTGATAAAAAATTTACAAGACTTATCT